GAACTGGTCAACCCCCCTATCCTGTAGGTCCGCTCCACTCACCAAATTCGTAGAGAACGAGGGGAGGTAGAGACCTGACAGGGTGCCAGAGGGGGCTGCCGGGCACGGTAAGATAGTGGAGAAGCTAGCAAGGACAGGACCCCCAGAGGGGTCTACCAGGGAGACTGCAGCCGGCCGATTGAGCGGCGTAAGAGTGGTGCGGTCTCGAAAGAAGGAGCGGGACGCACCCGAGTCAAGGGTGAAGGTGTAGAAGGCCTGAGCCGACGTAGTACCTGAGAGAGCAGACTCACCAGCACCTGGGGCAGCAGACGCACTGGCACCTGGGGCAGCAGACGCGCTGGCACCTGGGGCAGCAGACGCACTAGCACCTAGAGCAGCAGCCTCACCAGCACCTAGAGCAGTGGCCTCAATGCCTGGGTCAGGCGGTACACACAGGTAACAGTCACCCTCAACACTAGTAGTCAAAGAATACATGGCAGCAAGGATAGCATCATAGTCAAGATCAAAGACGGCAACCCCCATCCTAGACAGATCTCCCCAGCGAGGGATCTCTGACGCCTCAGGGAGCTGGCCACGCCACGCGTCCGTCAGGCGACCGAAGCAGCGGTGGGTGGAGTGCGGGCCCCTGCACTGCTCACCACCTCGGTCACCGGTATGGAGGGCGTAAGTGCAGGGACCAAAACCCCCACCGCGCTAGCGCGGAGAGTACCACTCACGAAGCTGCTGAGAGGACAGGGTCACACCACTCCGCTGCTGCTGGCGCGGACCACCACCTGAGCCACTCCTCTTTGCAGAGTCGCGACCCGCTCCACCACCACCGCCGCTGCCGCCGCCGCGTCCGCCGCCTCCTCCACCTCCGCCTCCTCCGCCACCTCCGCCGCCTCCGCTCTCTCCGCCACCACCGCCGCCTCCGCCGCCTCCACTGCTGCCGCCGCCGCCGCCACCCCCGGCACCACTCCCACCACCACCCCCACTCCCTCCACTGCCTCCACCACCACCTCCCCCGCCCCCGCCAGCCCCTCCAGCGCCCTTGCCCCCCTTGCCCTTGCCGGTGCGGAGTCTCCTGCTCGGGGCAGACGCAGCGCCAACCGACTCGAAACCAACGAGGTCGGCCACAGCAACAGAGGCAAGAGAGGGCAAGAGGGGGGAGGGAGAACACCCCTCAAAGACGGGGGTGCGAGGGTCACCACGAGAGGCTCCTACAGCGACTATACTCTTTTCTGCTGCTAGGAGGGCCTTCTCGAGGAGGTCAACGGTGAGAGTGGTGGGGCAAACTGAGAGGAAGTGGTCCGTGACTACGCGGAGAGAGTCAGGGAGCCGGGTGACTATGTAGTAGAGGGTGATGTACATGGGGGGGGGGGGGGGGGGGTTCTTGGCGCAGAACTGAGCAGGAAGCGCAGCGCAGTAGCGAGTGTCACTAGTGCGGAGGTGCGTAATGAGGTCAGCGACTGTGGGAAAGGCAGCAAGGTCAGGGAAGAGGTACGGTAGCATGAGGCGGCTCAGTGCAGCAGTGGCAGGGGAAGAGTAGCGTGCACTCTTGTACTGGCTAAAGTGTGCACGCTCAGTGGTCGGTAAGTGGCGGTGCATAGCAAGGCGAGCAGCAGCATCACGCGTGGCCCACTGTGAGGGAACAGTGGCGTCAGCATCAGCAGCAGGGGCAGGAGAGGCACCACAAGTGAGGTCAAACAGGGAGAGACCGTCTGCCCTATCGCACTAAAGGAAAAGCTGCAGATCATCTACCCAGACCTCAAAGTCAACTGCCCGACCCTCAGCGTCAAAGGTGAGAACACTAGGGGAGGCCATGACAGCAGTAGACAGGAAGTGAGTACAGTGGGGCAGGGCAGTGCAGTGGTAGAGGCGCTGCTCTTACCAGGCAAGTGGGGCGGTCTCGGGCAGGCCGACAGGCGGCAGCGCCTCGGCTGCGGTGCGGCTCGGCGGCTCGGCTGCTGGGCGGCTCGGCGGTCGGGCGGCTCGGCTGCAGGGCGGCTCGGCTGCTCGGCGGCTCGGGTGCTCGGCGGCTCTGGCGCTAGGCGGCTGAGTGGCGACGGGGCCGTGGAAGGGCGGCGACGGGGCCGCTGAAAGGGCGGCGACGGCCCGCTGAAAGGGCGGCGACGGCCCGCTGAAAGGGCGGCGACTGGCCGCTGAAAGGGCGGCGACGGGGCCGCGGAAGGGTGGCAACGGGGCCGCTGAAGGGCGGCGTCAGGGCCGCGGAAGGGCGGCGACGGGGCTGCTGAAAGGGCGGGCGGCGACGGGGCCGCTGAAAGGGCGGCGACGGGGCCGCTGACGGGCGGCGACGGGGCCACTGGAGGGCGGCGACGGGGCCGCGGAAGGGCGGCATCGGGCCCGCGGAAGGGCGGCGACAGGGCCGCTGCAAGGGCGGGCGGCGAGGCCGTGGAAGGGCGGCGACGGGGCCGCTGAAAGGGCGGCGACGGGGCCGCGGAAAGGGCGGCGACGGGGCCACGGAAAGGGGGGCCGCGAGGGCGGTGCGAAGAGGGCCGCAAGGGCGGCGCGACGGGGCCGTGAGGACGGCGCAACGGGGCCACTAGGGGCCGTGAGGGAGGCCGCTAGAGGCCACGAAGGGGAGTCACACGGGGCGCGACTCGGGCAGGGGCCAAGCGCGCTCCGGGCAGGAAAAAAAAGGTCGGTGGGCCCTAGGAACAGTTCCCACGGGGGAACCTGCTCTGATACCATGTGATAATTAGAACGAGAATGATTGAACTATGAAACATTTGGGTACAAGTACTAACCCTAATTGGGTTGTACCCCTTATAGGCTACCCCACTACAGCCTACACAGATGTATAAACTATAATGTTCTGACAGCTCAAGCATCTCTCTTCCCGCGTCCTCTTTTCTGCTGCACTAAGTGTCTCTTCTCTCGTGCCCTGAAATTCTCTGTTTTTTTTCGCTTCTTGTTTTTCTTATGTTGTTATCGCCTCCCTCGCAGGCCCATGTCTAAGGCATTTGCTTTGCGTGCGTTGGGCTTGCTTTGCATGAGTTGGACGTGCTTCACAATCCAAATTTGGCACTGGATATGAATGAGACTTGCGCATCGCAATGTTTTGAGCGACGCATTTGCACATGCTTGCGACGATTTTGTTTGAGTTGAAGTTAGGAAACTCGATCAGCATCATATGCGCTTGGAAAAAAAAATAAGAAAAGCACTTCAACTTTCAAGTGGACCCAACTAGAAGGGGGGGGTCACTATTTTAGCTGCTGGCTTTAACAGGCCTATTCACCCACGGATACAGTATCGACCCGTTTTTCACGATCGGGTGTTCACAGCAACTGGCAGAGGCCAAAGGCGTCTATTACGTAAAAACAGGCACCAACCGCATCTGGGTACCCGCGTACTCACTACTGAGGGAACTGCTACTGCAGGAGGCACACGACGGGATTACCTCGGGACATTTCGGGGTAGAAAAAATGCGACACCAACTACAGCGGTATTACAACTGGGCGGAGGTGTTGACCGACGTACAGCACCACGTGGGCTCGTGTCCTACGTGTCAAGTGATGAAGAGCTCGCGAAAAAGAAAGGCGGGTCAGTTGCAGCCGATTCCAACGCCTGAGCGCGCCTGGCAGCAGGTTACCATGGATTTCGTCACGTGGTTACCTTCGAACCGTGGGGGTAACGACGCAGTTATGGTCGTCGTTGACAGGTTGACGAAGATGGCACACTTCGCTGCGTGCAAGAAATCAATCTCAGCCGAGGAAACCGCTCGCCTGTTCATCGCAGCCGTCGTTCGATTGCACTTGATACCAGCCGCAATAATCAGCGACCGCGACATGAAGTTCACCAGCAACTTCTGGAAAAGCCTCTGGGAGCAGTTCGGGACGTGGCTACAGTTAGGGAGCGACGGTCAAACGGAGCGGACGAATCAGATGATGGAGCAGTTGATTCGTGCCATGTGCGACGACCCAACAACTTGGGAGCAGCAGCTGCCGCTGATCGAGTTCGCGTACAAGAATGCCACGTCAGCGACGACGCAACAATCCCCGTTTTATCTGAACTATGGGCAAAACCCTACAGTGCCCATGACGCCGAGCCCGAACAACCCAACGCCACGTGCACAGCAATTCGCCGAAATTCTGCAAGCTGCCCGCACCAGAGCCGCTGAAGCAATTAAAAAGCCAATGTCATCGCTAAGCGCAATGCTGACCGCCACCGCCGCCCAGTCACGTACCAGTCAGGAGACTACGTACTGCTCGACACACATAACTTAAGACTGCCCGTCGTACCGAAATTACGACCTCGCTACTGTGGACCATTCCTAATCAGCCACATGATTCCTAAACCATTCGCCCATACATCCCAACCACAAGCCAACTGCCTCGTCACCGCCCGCCATCCATGACTCGCCCTGCATCGGAGCCAATCATCGAGCCCAAAAAAATCCTGAGCCATTGGATTCGACACCCCACGGGAATCAGGAGGATTGAATTCCTCGTTCGCTGGAAGGACCACACGCCAACTGAGGATAGCTGGGTGCCCTTGGCCAACATCGAAAACCACTATGCCCTGCAAGTGTACCTGAGGAGCCGGGGTTTCCGCGATATACACATTCTTGCATAGCGGAGGGGGCTTCTTGAGGGGGGGGGGTAGTGTAAAGAATTTTCTGGATATTCCTTAGCGCGCCCTGCAACACCGCGTACAGCAGTAGCCGTTGTTCGCCCGTTACTGCTAACGGGGCTTCGCCGACTTCGCGCACTGTTTTACCAAACCTCGCACTGCTGGACCGGCCGTGTCGGCCTACGCTTCGGGACTAGCCCAAGCCTCGCTTCCAGCATAGCACTAGCTAGCTCGCACGCACCGCGTTACCGTTTGCATGTTTCGCGTATAAATGTTCGCTCATGCCTTCGCTCACAATTTGTACTCGTTTGACACCTTAGTGCAATTCTCGCTACCTCGATTCATTGCACCCGTAACAGCTACTAATTCATGACATTCGTTCGTAGAAGGTGAGCCTACGTGAAGGTTAGTACCAATGTACATATCCACTAGTATAGCAGTGTATTGTACAACATCTCGAGCCATGCGTCGGTCACTCCACCTTCACACCAATGGCGACAATCATCACGCGTAGATAGACTCGTCTCTCCTGCACACATAAACAGCAACAGAACCAAATGAGCACAAGGGGAACCCACCCACCCACACTGATACAGGCAGCGCGTCAACCCCACAGCCACACAGAGCTATTGTCGATGAAATTTCTCCACTTCCACAGAGTTGCACCATTGCTATTTTCCACAAGCGGGCCTCACCTGGATCCATCCAGCTTTGTATGTGCCCATGGGGTTGCGAGCCACTCATAGGCCCCACATCCAATTACTGGATAGGAGACACGGACAGCACACACATTTCCACTCAAACAAAGTTGCACCATCATCATCATCCACAAGTGGGCCTCACCTGGATCCATCCAGTTCTGTATGTGACCATCGGGTCGTGAGTCGCTCAAAGGCCCCACATCCAAGTACTGAATAGGAGACCCCGACAGCACACACATTTCCACTCCAACAAAGTTGCACCATCACTATTTTCCACAATCGGGCCTCACCTGGATCCATCCAGTTCTGTATGTGACCATCGGGTCGTGAGTCGCTCATGGGCCCCACATCCAGGTACTGGATAGGAGACCCCGACAGCACCCGCCTCTCCACCTCTCTAAACCCCTCCACATTGGTGTCTCCCTGTCGAATCTCTTGCGCCTGCAACAGGAATTTCCACCACCCGAATGATTACGTAGTGTTGGGTAATTCATGGCAATGCTGGAATGGCAGAAACCTGGGGTTGCAGAATAGCACAATGTGCACGTGTTGTCCGATGTTTACCCGCACACTCCCTCACTCCCACTCCTCGTCATGGCCGCATCCCTCACTCCCACACACCTTACCCACTGTTTTCCTTTTCCTACGCCTCACTTGCAGCCACGTCAGCTTCTGGTTGACCTGGCACGACCCCCCAGGGACACCTGGCAGGGGCAGCTCAATGTGCGTAGGGGACGCCCCCAGCAGCACCGCCCTGCCCTTGAACGCGCGCTCCTGCGCCCTCTCTACAAAGGATTTCAGCGTCTGCAGGGCCATCTTGTAGCGTGCACTCACCTCTCACTCTCTCACTCTCTCACTCCCACACTCCCTCCCTCACTCCAATATGCCCTCACTCACTCACACACTCCCTCAATTCCAGACTCCCGCAATCACACTCCCATTTCCTCACCTGCAGCCACGTGAGTTTCTGGTTGACCTGGCACGACCCCCCAGGGACACCTGGCAGAGGCAGGTCATAGTGCGTAGGGGACGCCCCCAGCAGCACCGCCCTGCCCTTGAACGCGCGCTCCTGCGCCCTCTCTACAAAGGATTTCAGCGTCTGCAGGGCCATCTTGTAGCGTGCACTCACCTCTCACTCTCTCACTCTCTCACTCCCACACTCCCTCCCTCACTCCAATATGCCCTCACTCACTCACACACTCCCTCACTTCCAGACTCCCGCAATCACACTCCCATTTCCTCACCTGCAGCCACGTGAGTTTCTGGTTGACCTGGCACGACCCCCCAGGGACACCTGGCAGAGGCAGGTCATAGTGCGTAGGGGACGCCCCCAGCAGCACCGCCCTGCCCTTGAACGCGCGCTCCTGCGCCCGCTCTACAAAGGATTTCAGTGTTTGCAGGGCCATCTCGTAGGCCTCTGCGACTGTTACTGTAGTTAACTCGGTGTCTCCTATAAAGAATCTGTTCGCGCGAGAGGTCCACCAGTTGGTCGCCTGGAAAACGACAAGGTCTGCAAGGGGCATGAGATTGAGAATTTCGTCCTGTAGCTGGTCCAGGTTGACTCGCGATCCGAAGAAGGGCGAAGGGGAGGGGGGGGGGGGGAGGGGGAGGGGGAGGAGGAGGCGGAGGGGGAGGGGGACGGGGAGGGAGAGGAGGAGGAGGTAGACGGGAGGGCCGTGGCGTTGCTGAGGAAGTTGGATGTGACTGCAGCGACACGGATGTTGTACCGAGGGATCTGACGGGATTGGCAGATGGAAAGGGATGTTGCAATGAGGGATTCGATGGGGTTGGAACTTGGAGCATGCGGCGTGCGACTCGTGTGCGACTCATCTGCATGCCTTGCGCGACTCACCTGCATGCCGTGTGCGACACTCCCTCTATTCTCAAACTGGAACCGTTCCGTCAGGTTCCAGCTGGACGAGTGCAGCACGCACATCACCGACGCTGCGAAGTTCTTCGCCACGCTATCACCGATCACGAGAACGAACTTGTCGCGAAGTTGGTTACGCAGTAACTTGGGAGTCATTCGCCGAGTCTTACACGTATGAGGCTGGAAATCAGGGAGAAAGAGAAACGACGAAGATAAAAAAAGGGGGGGATCACTCCACAATCCCGCATCATTCCAGCCATTTCGAATGAGGAAGTGAACGAAACGAGGGACAGTGTAACGCGTACCCGCCATTTGAGTTTCTGAAAAGACATGTCGAGCCGTCCGTTCTTCTCGCAGTTCTGACTGGAGCGAACGTACGGGCAGTTCATTCCCGTGTAGAGCGGAAGGTTCCTCCCGCCCACCCACTCCCCGCTGGTGATGTCGCACCCCCACTTCGAATCACTGGTTTGTGAGCCTTTGGCGGGAGAAAGTCAAGGGGATACTTGGAGAAACAGTGAGATGGCTTAACATTTTAATCCACCAGCAGAGGTGGAGAGAGAAGAAGGGATCGAGGAGAAAGTAGGGGAGGGTGGGGGGGGGGAGGGGGCAAGGGTGGGGAGGGAAAAGGGGGGAAATATCGGGGCTGTTTGTAAAGATTCTCGAGAATACTTCGCAAACAAATGTTGTTCATTCCGCTCCCGACCGCTGTTGGCGGTAGTAACGAGCGCAGAGAAGGGGAGGAAGCGAGCCGAAAAGGTTCAATTCCCGTGAGTCGTAAAAAATGCCCGAGACTAACCAAACCGGGATGGAACGGTTCTTTGTGTCCCCCGGCTGATCCTTTCAGACACGGTGGATATCATAGGATTGATAGATAGCGAGTCGTGTTTTGAGTCGACTCAAAACAGCTGATCCTTTCAGACACGGTGGATATCATAGGACTGATGGAAAGTGAGGCTGGATGAACGCGCTGGATGGAACTAGAATACGAGAAGAAAGTCATATAAGGAGGAAACGAACTCACTCGCCATAGACCAGGGAAACCATGATGCGGCAGTTGCGTGCGTCACCAAATTTAGCAACAGTGCGGCCGCGAGCAGCACAAGCCGTGGTTGGCAGATTCTAATGCTCCGCCCATTATTCCCCATAGCTGAATAATCAGTGTGGTTGCTAGCTACTGCCTTAAACCTAGAGGTACGAATTGATGTGATAATCTAAGGATTCATGCTCACGTCTCATCCTTGTTTTATCTGAATGTGTGCAGGTGAAGAGAAGTGTGAAGCGAAGGTGAAGCGAAGTGTGATGATGAACGAGGCGCGATTTCTTTCTCTTAGTGATGTGGTTGACGCTGGGAGGGGGAGAACAAGCCCATCCATAGGGGCGAGGTTCCGTACGTTTTTGAACGGTTACGAGCGTTGCAATCCAGTTTTTGAGAGCGACTCGACCAGCTCAAGAAGGCTGGCCTGCCTGCAAATTTGCAGCAATGCGAGGGTGAGGAGGAAGCACTTCAATTTCCAAATGTAACAGCCAACCATAAACTTCTACTTAATAGTTTACCGACACACCATCAAACGAGTCATGCTGTCAGAAAAGCGCGGCAAGCTTGCTGACAGGCAAAATAGACAGCCAAGTTCCAAGTACACCCTGTTTCGCGCTAGCAGAGCATCTGGTTGCAGAACATTCACTGGTTGTAGAACGTCACCACGTTTGAAATGGTCTTATCACCGACGGTACAAGCACATTCACAAGAAAGCGGTTAGCTAGGATGCTGCATGGTAAAGAACAGTAACCAAGCGTTTCAAAGCGGTTGAAAAGGGTATACAGCGATAAAGAAAATTTTTGCCCCCAGTACCACTCCGTCAGCTGGTGCGGCTTTGCCCGCAGGTTTCAGCCATACGGTTTATGGCACCTGACCGCACTGTAGCAGCGAATCGCGCAAGGTGAGAGGGTCGAGAAACAGGGTGTACCTGTGACGATAAGCGTGGCGAAACTCAAAGCGGTCCACTTGACGCTCGTTTCCCATTGCGAACATTCACGAATTAATGGTTACGGACTGACACCATCCCCGAACCCACTTCTTCCGCCAAACCAAGGAAATGTTGATTCTCAAGGGACCTGCAGCACAATTCCATTCCCGCAAAAGGTACAAGTGCAGATTGAAATCCTGGAGCCAGCCGAAGATCTCTAGGGTTTTCTGAGCTTCTGTGGTTTCAGATTACCTTGAGTTCAGTTCAGACTTCTCCTTATCAGCGCCATTGCCTACCCAAGACAGAAACTCTGACATTGGACGGGCCGGTTTTCCCGTGCGCGCTCTCGTCGTAGTATCTTAAGGAACGGCTATGTACTCGATTAATTTGTAATACATCTGGAGGCTCAGTTAACGCTCTTAATTGTCTACGGTTTCTGCCTGATTTGAAGCAGATCCCGTCATGGATCAGAATCAGTATTCGGCGTTCTCGCCAATATCAGCAACCGCTACTCGTCTTACTTTCGACAACATTCCTCTCAACTCTCCTCAACACAATGGTCCGAAGTCTTCCAAGAAGAATGCCACACCAAAGCCTCCTGACACGTCAGCAGCACCAGGAAGCAGCGCCAGGCGCAGGAACAGCACACCAGGCTTCATTTCCGCAGACGGTGCCGATATCGTCTCCGTCGACGGTAACCTCATTTCGCGAGCCAATCCCTCGCCAGCCTTGGCGAAAGATGCATTGGCTGCCATCGCAGCAGCGTCTTTAAAGCCGGCTCCTCCCAGGTCTGCAGCGAGGCAGAGCCGAGCCATTGTTCCGGTTGCGGAGACGAGGCTCGAAGAGGAGGAGCAGGTCTGGCAGCGATACCGGGAGTCAGGGTTGGACGAGGTCGTGGTTCTGCGGAAAGAGCGAGACGCGCTAATGGAGAAGGCGAACTCGTTGGATCAAGAGGTAAAAGGAGGCGCTTCTACTTTACTCCTTAACAGGAATCTCCAGCATTCTTTGATCGTTATACGTTGACGAATCTTCGTTTTTTTTCAGCTATCAATATGTTTAACCGTGTTTCGATCTCAGTCTGTCATTTTCTCGTAATCTCGTTAGATTCATTGTTCTGATCTATATTATTTTTATTTTCTTATTACTCTTCCTGGCAGCTCTACGAGTACCAGTACAACATGGGTCTGTTGCTGATGGAGCGGCAGAAGTGGTTACCCAAGTACGAGGACGCGCGAGCGGCGCTGGAGGAAGCGGAAGCGGAGCTGCAGCGGGAAGCGACGGCGCACAGGGTCGCTCTGGCGGAAGCGAAGGAGCGGGAAAAGGCTCTACAAGACGCGCTCGCCATCGAGCAGGACTGCGTCGCAAGCGTACGCCTTCTCGTCTCTTTTCGCCGCGTCGCTTCTCTCCGTCTGCTTTCCTTATCGCTCTCTCCGTCCTTGCTTTCCGTGCACTTCCGCGCTCGTTGTCGCTCAGCAAGATCGATTTCATGATGTTCGAAAGTCAAGTCGCCTGAGAATTCGAGAAGTTGATGACGCTGATTGCGGACCCCGTTTCAATGCCGTCGCCGTCGGGCGACCCCTCATCTGTTTCCACTTCCACTGAAGATGGAGCGATCTGTGGGAAAACAAAGAAAAGTTGATATCAAAGTTCCCCTGCATGCATAGGGGGAGAGAATAAATTCGAAGAAAGAAGCAGCTGCATTCTGGAAAAAACAGCTCCTGCGGTTTTTCCTTCCCACCGCAGATGGAGCGAGCTGTGAAGGAGCTGCAGGTGGAGGAGTCGAAGAAACACGCAGTTTACTGAGAATATACTTTTGACATATATTGCGTACAATATTTCCTCCTTTTGACTGCAGATGGAGCGAGCTGTGAAGGAGCTGCAGGTGGAGGTGGAGGAGACGAAGAAGCACGCGCGCACGGCGCTGGACGAGGCCAACGCCACCATGGCTGCCGCGCAGAAGAAGCTGGCGGCGGCGGAGGCGGCTAGCCGGCAGGTGGAGGCGAGCCGGAGCGAGGCGAGCAGGCGCATTGCGGAGGCGGAGCGGAAGCAGCAGGAGCTGGAGGCCAGGGAGGCGAATGGCAGGCGCGAAGTTCAGGCGGAGAAGGACAGGTGAGAGAGGGGAAAGGTTGCTTGCAGCCCTTGGGTTAAGGGGGGAGATATGCTAGGAATGGCGCTTTATACTTGCGAGAATGGCGCTTGCTTCTGGGTTAGGTTGAGTTGCTGCCTGCCTTGCCTCTAGGAGCTCTTCGCAGATTCCTTGTACCATGCTGCTCTGAATGTCAGACACCTTGTTCCTTGTTATCGCTAGTTTCATGAGTGCTATCTGATATGAATCGCTTTGGGTTGTGGATGGTGTGTGCGCTGTCGGATGGTGTGTGGCGTTTTCAGGCTGGAGGCCAAGGCGCGGGAACTGGAGGCGCAGAAAGGGTCACTGAGTGACTGGGAGGCCAAGTTGAAGCAGCGCAATGCGAAGATTCTGGAGGTAGGGAGCTCGATTGTTTTGCATTTGGGGTGGGACGGGGAATGGCTGGCAGTTATGGGTGTCTTCTTGACGTGTAATGTGGTTCTATGGATACGCTGTTGGAAGTGACGGCTCCTGACAACTGCTTCACGTGCATGCATGCGTGTGCTTGCGTGTGTGTGTGGGGGGGGGGGGGAGAAGTTGGGGTGAGTTGGTGGGGGGGTGGGTGGGGTGAGCGTGCGTGTGTGCGTGTGTGTGTGCGTATGTGTGTGCGTGTGTGTGTGCATGTGGTGTGGTTACGGGCGCGCAGAGCGAGGAGATGCTGGATGCGCGGGAGGCGCGCATAGGCGCAGCGATGGACGAGCTCAAGGCGGCGGAGCAGCAGGCGGAGGCGCGGAAGGCGGCGCTGCAGGAGGAGGCGCGGCGGCTGGAGGGCGTACGAGAGCAGGCGCGGGAGGCGGAGAAGCGCGCGCGGAAGGAGGCGCAGGCGGTGGCGGAGGGGAAGGTGGCGCTGGCGAAGCGGGAGGGCGAGCTGGCGGTGCAGGAGGACCTCCTGGTGGCGCGCGAACAGGTATGCCACGCTGCTGTTGACGAAGCACAGGGTGGATCTGGCATTAGGGGTGGGCTTTGCACAGGGTTGGGTGTTAGTTGGTCTATGTCTCCAACCTGCTCCGATCCTTGCACCTGCCTCGTCTCGCCTCCACTGTGTCTTTTTCTCCACGTTTCTTCTCTCGCTGATTTCTTACCCCTGTCCATCTCCCTTGTCCCTCTCCCTTGTCCCTCTCCCTTGTCCCTCTCCCTTTTCCCTCTCCCTTGTCCCTCTCCCTTGTCCCTCTCGCTTATCCCTCTCTCTTGTCCCATCTCCCTCGTCCCTCCCCGTACTTCTCCTTCCTGTGTCTCTCCCCGCTCTCCCTCGCGCGTGTGCACCAGGACGCGGTGGCAAGGGAGATGCGCGGCAAGGAGTTGGAGCTGCGTGTGGCGAGCGAGCAGGAGAGGGTGCGCGAGTGGGAGGAGAGCCTGCGGAAGCGGCAATCGGCGCTGGACGATCTCAAGGCCAAGCTGGTGAGATTTGAGAAGGAAGTCACATTTTGTTGTTACCGTAAATTTTGAGAGTTTTCGGGGGTTATAGAATGTGCCCATCTGCTCTGGACGGTTCCAAGAGGAGGCTGGTGTACCTTATACTGTGTGTCTGCTTGTCTACTTATCTCGTGCGCCTCTGGTTGTCTGTGTCTGCTGCACTGCGAGCAGGCGAGCGAGAAGAAGGGGCTGGACGAGGTGGAAGCGTCTTTGAGCAGTGGGCGCGTGCAGCTGGAGGAAATGCAGGCAGAGCTGCAGAGCAAGGAGCGTGCGCTGCTGGTGAGATGAGAGCTGCTTATGATTTGTAGCTATATGGCTCTCCAGTAGCTATATGGCTCTCCAGTAGCTATATGGCTCTCCAGTAGCTATATGGCTCTCCAGTAGCTATATGGCGCTCCAGTAACTATATGGCTCTCCAGTATCTATATGGCTCTCCAGGAACTTAGCAACGTTACGTCTTCTCTTGCGCGCTTCACTTGCTGACCTGTTCTTGACGTATGGGCTGCTATGCTGCTTGGTTGCTTGGCAGGCGGAGCGGGAGAGGGTGCAGGCGCAGGAGAACGAGGTGGAAGGGCTGCGCGCGCAGGTGGCGCAGAAGGAGGAGCTGGTGGAGCAGCGCGAGCAGGGCGCGCAGAGGCGCGCGGAGAGGGCGGCGGAGCGCATGGCGGAGGCGGAGGCGCTGGTGCTGCAAGCGGCGAGCAGAGAGCGGGAGGTGGAGCTGAGGCAGGCACAGCTGGACAGGGATTTGAGGCGGTGAGTCTTAAGTTGGGGCTAGGGGGAGAAAAGAGGACAACCAGGGGGAAGAAGGGTGCAACGAGGGAGAAAAGGGGTGCAGCGAGGGGAAAAAAGGGTGCAACGATGGGGAACGTTTGGTGTGGCTGGGGAGGGAGATTTGGGGGAGGAAGGATGGAGAACCTGGAGGACGAGGGGTGCCGCTTTAGTGTTTCATTGTATGTTGAGTTTTGACGTCGGCCCACCGTCTGGTTCCCAAGATTTGTGACTCATGCTTGATATTTCTTGCGTGTTGCATGGACTGCTGCTCTGGTGTGTTGGCAGGTTGGAAGTGGCGAGAGCAGAGGCGGACGCGGAGAAGCAGCAGCTGGAGGACCTCCGGGAGAGGGTTCGCTCTGAGCGCGCCGATTCAGAGGCGGAGAAGCGCCAAGCAGCAGCTGCTCTGGCTAAAGCGGAGCAGACTATAGCGGAGTCGGGGGTCAAGCGGGAGGCAGCGCAGGCGGAAATGAAGCGGGCGCAGGAGCGGCTTGAGGAGGCGGAGAGGCGCGTGCAGGAGCTGAGAGCGGAGAAGGAGAGGTTTGAGAAGGAGTGGGAGGTGCTGGATGGGCAGAGGGAGGAGGTGGAGAGGATGGAGGTAGAAGTTGGGAAACTGAGGGAGAAAGCACTAGCTGATGTGCAGAAGGAGAGGGAGGAGGTGAGGAGGCAAGAGAGGGAGGTTGAAGCGAGGTTGGAGAAAGGGAGAGAGGAGTTGGAGGAGGAGAGGAGAGGGATTGCGGAGGAGTGGAGGAGGAAGGGAGAGGAGGTCGAGGCAGAGAGGGAGGAGGTGGAGAGGGAGCGGGAGAAGTTGCGTGAGGAGAGGAATGCGCTGGAAGAAGCGTCTGCGGAGGTGGAGGGGCAGAGAGAGGCGCTGAAGGCCGAGCGGGGCGAGCTGAGGAAGGAGATCGAGGAGAAGAAAACGGTGTTTGCTCAGCTGTCGCAACAGCATGCAGCTCTGGAGCGGAAGGGGAAGGCGGTGAAAGTGGAAGAGGAGAAGGTGCGGGAGATGTTGGCAGCGGCGGAGAAGGGTCGGAAGGAGCTGGAGCAGGAGAAGGAAGGGTGGAAGGAGCAGCACCAGCAGATGCTGAGCGCCGTGCGGGCAGAGCGAGAAGGCGTGGAGGAGGAGAGGAAGCGGGTGGTAGCAGAGGCGCGGGAAGAGAGGGTGAGGCTGGGAGAGGAGGCGGATGAGGTGGTGCGGGCGAGGAAGGAAGCGGACGAGGGCAGACAGCAGGTGGAGAGGGAGATGGAGGAACTGGCTTTCCAGAGAGCTGCGTTACAGTCAGAGGAGATTGAGCTTGGCAGCAGACTCGAGGACGTGAGCGCCCGGGAATCAGCTCTTGAAGCGGCGGCTGAGCAGCTGAAGGGGAGAGAGGCGGCTGTAGCGGCACGGATGGGTGAAGTAGAGGCGGCCCTGGCGGCTGTAGCGGCGAGGGAGGAGGAGGTGGTTCGGGCGCGGGAGGGGCTTGTGCGGGAGAGGGAGAGGATGGAAGCAGAGGTTGAGCAGCAGAAGAGAGTGGTGGAGATGGAACGGGAAGGAGTGGAGATGGAAAAGCAGGAGGTTGCGGCGAGGGGCGAGGCGGAGAGGGAGAAGGTTCGGATTGAGAGGGAGGCAGTGGGGAAAGAGAGGGAGCAGGTGGAGCGAGAGGCTGAGGAGGTCAAGAAGGCCCTTGCGGAGGTTCACAGGCAGAGGGGGTTGCTGGGAGAGGAGAGGGAAGCTGCTAGAGCAGAAGCAGCCGAGCATCGGGCAGCGATAAAATCTCTTGTGGAGGAACGGGCAGCGGCGGAGAGGGGCGCGAAGGAGGCGAGAAACGCGTGGGAGAAGGCCAAGGGGGAGATGGATGCCCTGGAGGCTGAGAGGAAGGAGGTGCTGCAGGAGAGAGCGAGGCTGGATGAGGAGCGGAAAGACTTTGTGAAGAAGATTGCTTTGGAGAGGGAGAGCGTGGCAGTGGATAGGAAACTGGCGCTGGAGAAGGTTGAGAGGGATTCTGCTGGGGTGAAGCGGGATAGGGAGTCTCTGGCGAAGGAGAGAGCGGCGCTGCTGAAGGAGCGGGAGAGGGTGGAGAAGGAGAAGGAGGGCGTGCAGAAGAAGCTGCTGGAGGTTCGGGTGGAGCGGGAGAAGGCTCGGGAGGAACGGACGAGCACAAGGCAAGAGCTGGCGGAGAGCAGGGCGGAGAGAGTGAAGCTGGGGCAGCAGAAGGCTGAGCTGGAGCGGGAGATTAAGATGCTGCAGGCTGAGAAGGCAGAGGTGCAAGGCGAGAGGGCGAAGGCGGATCGGGCGAGAGAGGAGCTGGAGAGGCTGCGGGAGGGGCTGGTTGCTGAGCGGGCGGAAGTGACTGCTGCTTTGGGGAGGCTGGACAGGGAGCGGCTGGATGTGGCGGCTTTGGCGAGGCGAGAGAGGGAGGCCGTGGAGAAAGAGAAGGCTGCTGCTGAGGCGAAGATTGAGAAGGAGAATGCGAGGCTGGCGAGAGAGAGAGGTGCTTTGGGGAAGGAGAGGGAGGCGGTTGGGAGAGAGAAGGACGAGGTGGTGGGAGCGAGAGAGGAGGTTAGGGCGGAGAGGGTTGCGCTGGCAGGGGGGAGACGGGAACTGAAGAAGGAACAGGCGGAGGCCAAGGCTGCTGCTGCTGAGCTGAAGGCTGCCAGGGCCGCAGCAGAGAGGGAGGCGGAGGGGGCGAGAGTGGCTGCTGCTCGGGCGAGGGCGGAGCAGGAAGCAGCGGTGAAGGCTGAGGAGAGCGTGGCTGCGGAGAGGGAGAAGCTTGCTGCTGCAGCGAGCGAGCTGGAGAAGGAGAAGGAGCTTCTGGAGAAGATGCGATCGGCTGCTGCAGCTGAACGGGCGGAATTGGCTGCTGAACGCGCAGGGAACGAGGGGCTGCTGAGGAAGATTGAGCAGGAGAGGGAGGTGGCGAGGCAGGAGAGGGAGAAGGAGAGGAGGGAGATTGGAGAGCGGATTGCGGAGCTTGAAGGGCTTGAGAAGCAGCAGGCGGAGGCGATTCAGGCGTCGAGGAACATTCAGGAGCAGCGGGCACATCTGCGGGAGGAGATGGAGGAGTTGGAGAGGGAGAGGGCGCGGCTGAGGGTGGAGGAGGCGAAGGTGAGGGAGGGTGGGAGGGAGCTGATGAGTGAGAGGGAGAAGCAGAGGGCTGCGCTGGAGAAGGAGAGGGACGAGGCTGCTGCGGCACAGGCTGCCCGTGCTGCTGCGGAGGCTGATAGGCTGGCAGAGAGGATCGCGGAGTTTGAGGCCAGGATGGAAGAGGAGAAGGCGAAGCTGCGGCGGATGCGGGAGGCGGTGGAGGAGAAGCGGGTTGGGGTGGAGGAGGAGAGGGCGAGGATTGAAGGCGAGAGGGAGGAGCTGAGGAGGCAGAGAGAGGAGATGGTGGCGAAGCGGGTGGAGCTAAAGAAGGAGATTGCAGAGAAGGAAGCAGAGGTGCTGCAGGTGGAGCAGCTGAGGAGGCGGCAGGAGAGGGAGCTGAGGGAGCTGGAGAAGCAGCGGGCTAAGGTGAAGGAAGAGAGGGAGGAGGTGGAGCGACAGAATCTGGAGTTAGTGTCTCGCAGGGCGAAGGCGGAGGAGGAAGTGGCAACGACCCTGGCTGGAATTGAGTCTGAGAGGGCTGCTGCTGAAAAGGAGCGGCAGGAGAAGGAGCGGGATCTTATGGCCCGCTCCCGGAGGCTGGATGAGGAGCAGAGGCGGCGGCGGGAGGAGTGGGAGGCTCTGGTGGAAGAGGAGAGGAAGAAGATGGAGCGGGAGAGAGAGGCGGTGGCGCGGGACAGGGCGGATACTCAGAGGCACTGGGACGATGTGCAGAAGATGATTCAGGAGCTGCACCAGCAGCGGCGGCAGCTGAAGGAGGAGAAGGAGGCGGGCAGGCGGACGGAGAGTGCGGAGAGGAGGCTGTCGGGCGGGTCGAGCTGGATTGCTGGCGGGCATGATTTGGCGGAGCAGCTGCGGTTTGCGAGGGAGAGGCTGAATGAGGAGCGGGAAGATTTCGAGATGGAGAAGAAGGAGCTTGAGGTGAGAAGGGCTGTTCTGAAGCTCGAGGTTCTCCCTGATTGTTTTTTGCCTGCCCTGCAAGGCAAGCTTTTGCTTGTTCCTCAACATTTTTTTCTGTAGAGATAATTTTGGTCCTTGCTCACCCCACTCCAACCCATCCCACCGCATCTGATCCCCCGACAGGCTCAGCGTCGGTCAGTGGAGATGGAGCGAGAGGGCATGGCACGGGAGGCCGAACGGCTCCGTGTGCTCAAGTCCGAACTCGCCACCATGGAGAACTCCCTGCTGGGCTCTCCTGCCCAGGCTCAGGCGAAATCTCAGGTGCCAGCAACAGAGGCAGCCACAGCAGTAGCTGTTGCAGTAGCAGCAGCAGCAGAAGAGGCAGCAGAGGCAGCAGCAGCAGCAGCAGGAGCAGATCGAGAGGGGGGGTTGTTTACAACTCCTGGAAGAGAAACCGGGGCTAAATTCGGTTTGCTATCTACTCCTACCTCTGCACTTGCTGCTGCTAAGGCAGGTGCAGCAGGTGCAACAGATGCTGCTGCCCTTGCTGCTGTGCCCATGACCGAACCTCCGAAGCCGCGTCGAAACTGGGCATTGGAGCAATGCAGGAAAACTGCATTTGGTCTGGCCAGTCTGTGGGGCGGTGGAGGTAGTGCTGCTGCTGCTGGTGGTAGCAAGTCCCCTGCTGGTGCGGGTCCTTCAGGTATGGATGAGGAAAGAGATACAGGGAAGGAAGGTGACGAGGGGGAGAAGGACGACGGGGAGGGTGTTCCTGATGCTGACGCTGCTGATGGGTATGTGGATGGGGATGCTGCAGAGGGGGATGAGGATGAGGCATTCAGGGATGCAGAGGGGATGGAAGCTGAGCCAGCAGATGGTGCTGCTGGTGTGGCTGTCACTGGGGTGGTGGTTTCTGCTGCTGCTGCTGCTGCTGTGCGGGCTGCTGGGGAGGAGCAGGCGGATGGTGCTGGTGTTGGAGTGGCGGATGGTGTTGGGGCTGGTGCTGGAGTGGCGGTAGGTGTGGTGGAAGTCGAAGCTCATCTGGCTGTAGCGACCGTAGCAGGAACGGCCGCTGCAGTGCCCAGCGCTACGGCCGAACCTGCCACACCAGTCAGAGCGCCTGTTGGAAGCCAGACCCCTTCGGGGCGTATGAGGCGCAGAGGCGGGGCTGGGGAAGCAGACGGGGTTGCAGGGGAGGAGGTGGATAAGCCGGTAAGGCGATCTGCTAGGAAAGCAACGTCGGGGTCCCAGGGTGTGAGTGCAGGAGGGGTGGTGGGTTCACCTACTAGTTCGGTTAGGAGCGGTGCAAAGAGGGGGAGGGGAGGGAGGAGGGGAGGCAGAGGGGGGGGACGAGGAGGGAGGGGAGGGGAGGCGAGTGGGGGGACTTGGGCGTTGGAGGGTGAATCGGGGAGTATGGCAAGTGTGGATGAGGAGGGGAGGAGTAAGAAGAGGAGGCGTGGGGGTGAGGAGGAAGAGGGGGAGGAGGGGGAGGGGATGGAGGAGGAGGGAGGAGGGGAGGGGGAGGGTGGGGAAGAGGATGGGAATAGTGAGGCTGGGGAGATGGTGGGTGGGGGAAGAGGGAGAGGTAGGGGACGCGGGCGGGGACGAGGGAGAGGGAGAGGGAAAGCTGCAAAGCTGAAGTAGGGGGGAGGAGCAAAGAGCAGTGGGAAGCGATGGAGTGGTGTGTGCAGGTGGGGCAGGGAAATGGGGGAGATGGGTGACGTCTGTAAGGGGGAAAGGAAGGAATGGTGAGGGACTGAGGGAGCAATGCAGGGAGGGAGGAGGATGGAACATACCTAACTCTGATGCACAACCGAATCAGATGTGATGCTCGATGTCTTTTTCTCTAGGACGAGATCTCGGGCGCTACGTTGTTACCAAGTCTTGGTGGCTTTCCTAGGGATATTTGTCTGACTACACCCCCTTGTTTGTGGCTAGTTGTCTGATTGTTTTCCTGGTAGTAGTCTGTGCTAGAGCATGTTGACTAAGTGAATGAAACTCTTACCGGTAATCGCACGTGTAAGCGCTACTACTGCGGATATCGAAACAAGTGACACGTAAATTTGGCCGCAGTGGACCTCCGCTACTACTCCGCGCATTGTTCAATTCCGAGTTACGACCAGTTCAATTCAGCGACTGCTCGTGTATCATAAATTCCTCCGCCAATGACCCCGGTCATCCACCTCCTAGACGTGACCCCGGTCTCCAACTCGGCGCGCAATGGACGCGTTACAGCGTCTCTTGTCGCCGTCGCTGCTTGAGGAGGTAAAGGAGTCTCTCTCCTCTCACCGCCCCTTAGCGGCTTTCGCAGCCATTGAGAGGAGTCTTCTCGAGGAGTCCGCGCACCGGCGAGTGTTTGATCAGGTGAGATGCGCTGCCAAGCTATCCTTGTTACAACCCGCAACTGCCAGTTTATAAGCCAATGGGTGTTCACGGGCCTTTTTTTTTTTCCGTTGGTTCAAAAATCCATTTAAGTATCTTTGTACAGACTCAGATTGTACTCTTTTTCTTTGCTTCGAACAGCTGATCGCTCCTCTCACTGACCGCCAAGGCCCGTGCGCCAAGGACAGCGCAGTGACGGGTGAGGCCAAGACCGCAGGCAACCGCGCGTTTGGAGAGCAGCAGTATGCGGAGGCTGTGACCTGCTACAGCAAGGTGAGAGGCCGTGACCTGCTACAGCAAGGTGAGAGGCCGTGACGTGCCACAGCAAGGTGAGAGGCCGTAGCTTCTCGTAGCCTCTCGTTTGGGTTGTGCTGGCTCCCTGCAAGCCCTGCAGCACGCGTTTCTGCTGTACGCGTTTCTGCTGTACGCGTTTCTGCTGTACGCGTTTCTGCAGGGCTTGCAGGGAGCCAGCACAGGGTGCCTCAAGGACAGAATCTGTGTGTCCCACCCTCTCATCTTCCAGTCCTCCCCCTCCCGTTTGGGTTGTGCTGGCTCCCTGCAAGCCCTGCAGTACGCGTTGTAAGGCGCCTCACTACAGAAATCATGCGCCTCACCGACATTTTCACTATTATTGTCCCGTTTGGGTTGTGCGGGCTGGCTCCCTGCAGGCCCTCCAGTATGCGCCTCTGGAGTCACCTGACTTGCTGGCAGTACTCTTCACCAATCGTGCCACGTGTCTGCATGTGAGTGGCCTTAACATGCCACGTGTCTGCATGTGAATGGCTCGTCTAGTGTCATCGTTCTTGCAAATTTGTGTGCTCTGGTTGCTAACTCGTGATGGATGCACATGTGTGTATGTGTTCATGCGTGTGCATATCCGTGTGCATGTGCATGTGCATGTGTGTGTGTAATGTATGATCTTCAGAGAATGGGACAGCTAAGGGAGGCTGAAGAGGATTGCTCCCATGCCATCCACCTCTCTCCATCTTACTGTAAGGTAGGTGCCATGCCATGCCATACTCCATGCCATGCCGTGTCCATCCCATGCCATATCTGATGCCATGCCATGTCCATCCCATGCCATATCTGATGCCATGCCATGTCCATCCCATGCCATAACTGACGCCATGCCATATCACATGCCATGACTGTGAATATCTGTGCCCTGCAATGACTATGATGGACCGTCCCATGCTATGCCTATGGCTCACCACGCCTTTCCATGCGTTGCTGTTCTGTTTTGCCACTTTTTCCATGCCAGGCTTGGTTTCGGAGGGGGTGTGTTAGGGCTGCCCGAAAAAAGTATCACGGTGCAGTCACTGACTTGAAGAGAGCTCTCCTATTGGAGGAAGCGGCTGGAAATCGACCCGGGGCAAAGAAAGTTGCTGACGAGTTGAAGAAAACTACAGAGGAGCAAAAGAAGGAAATTCTAGCAGCAACAGGAGAGGAAGAGTCAACACTTAACAAGGAAGCTCTAACAAGTCGAGAAACAGCAGCAGTCAGGCCAGCAGCAGCGCCAGCAGCAACGCCAGTAGCAGCACCAGCAGCAGCACCAGCAGCAGCATTAGCAACAGCACCAGCAGCAGCGTTAGCAACAGCGCCAGCAGCAGCATTAGCAACAGCACCAGCAGCAGCATTAGCAACAGCACCAGCAGCAGCATTAGCAACAGCACCAGCAGCAGCATTAGCAACAGCACCAGCAGCAGCATTAGCAACAGCACCAGCAGCAGCATTAGCAACAGCACCAGCAGCAGCATTAGCAACAGCACCAGCAGCAGCATTAGCAACAGCACCAGCAGCAGCATTAGCAACAGCACCAGCAGCAGCATTAGCAACAGCGCCAGCAGCAGCGCCAGCAGCAGTGATGGCAGCACTAGGCACTGCAACAGCAGCCAAGAGAAGTCACGGAGCAGTGGTAACCGCATGGTTACATCCGCAAGTGGAACCCTTTAGGCACATTGGAACAGCGGAAAGGGACTCTGCTCGTGATGTTACAGGCGTTGCAACTGGCAGGGCAGATTCCACCCATACTACTGGTGCTACTGGTGCTACTGGTGCTACTGGTGCTACTGGTGCTACTGGTGCTACTGGTGCTACTGGTGCTACTGGTGCTACTGGTGCTACTGGTGCTACTGGTGCTACTGGTGCTACTGGTGCTAGTGGTGCTACTGGTGCTACTGGTGCTACTGGTGCTACTGGTGCTACTGGTGCTACTGGTGCTACTGGTGCTACTGGTGCTACTGGTGCTACTGATGCTACTGGTGCTAGTGGTGCTACTGGTGCTACTGGTGCTAGTGGCACTACAGGCTCCATGCATGGTGCAAGTCCCAAGATGCTTCAAGACACCACGAAGTCTACCAGTGCTACTACAACACGAGTTGATGGAAGTAAGGCATTCGCAGCCCACCTGTCCTCTTTTGACAGCTCCGGCACCACAAAGTCTACCAGTGCTACCAACGCCACCAGTGCGACCAACGCCACCAGTGCGACCAACGCCACCAGTGCGACCAACGCCACCAGTGCGACCAACGCCACCAGTGCGACCAACGCCACCAGTGCGACCAACGCCACCAGTGCGACCAACGCCACCAGTGCGACCAATGCCACTAGTGCTTCTCAGCAGGCATGCGCAAGGGCTCCCCAAGACTCGCATGCAGGGTGGGGCCTTCGGCTCGCTGCAGCGGGTTATACAAGCAGAGGCACCAGAGCTGCTGCAGCCGGCACAGAGCCATGCGCTGGTGCTCCCTGCCTGCCAGCTGGCGCTCCCGGCTTGCCAGCTGGCGCTCCTGGCTTGCCAGCTGGCACAGTTGTGCTAGTTGAAGAACCGATAGTTGCGGTAAGTTTGGTTCTTCCTCGCTCTCTCGATTGCGTGCAGCTCTCTCGATTGCGTGCAGGCAGCTCTCTGTCAGTGTCTGGGGGAAAGAGGTGATCACCTCTTTCCTCTGGGGCCCTTACCATCTCACTACTTCTCTCCCCTCCCTCCTCCCTCCTCCCTCCTCCCTCCTCCCTCCTCCCTCAGCCCTCCCTCCTCCTTCCCCCTTCCTCCTTCCACCCTCCTCCTGCATCCCCCTCTTCCCATCAGGCCCTCTTGAAGCCGCACCACTCCTCTTGCTGCCACCACTGCCTTTTTTTGGGCACCTTAAAGCTCTTTTCCCTTGCATGCTTATCATCTCTGTGCGTTTCTGCCCTCCTGCCTTCACTCTTCCCATCAGGCACTCTTGAAGCCGCACCGCTCCTCCTGCTGCCACCACTGCCTGCTGCCCCTCCCCTCCAACCCCTTCCCCTGCCCTGGCTGCTCCTTTGCCCTCTTCTGCCGGCCCCTCTGCGCTGCTATGGCTCTGGGAGTGGCAACGTCCATTTCAGATGCTGCTTCTACTGCCACAGATGCTGCCTCTGCTACAGATTCCACAGCTGCTACAAATGCCCCACCTGCTACAGATGCTGCCTCTGCTACAGATACGGGTGCTACAACCGCATTGGAAAATGGGGGAGATACAGGTGCTACAGCAGCGGAGCTGCTACAGCCGGGGTGGAGGGCAGGTGTTACCTGGTGGGGGGAGCATCTGGGGGAGTGTGGCGGCAGCAGCTGGCATGCTGCCTTGCCGGTGGAGGCCTGCTTGGTTGGTAGGGTGGTGGGGCAGGTGGGACTGGGGCAGGTGGGATTCGGGGGGGGTGGACTAGCACAGGGTGAGGGAAGGATTGATGGCGGTGTGGAAGGAAGAAGAGGGCTGGGGAGGAGAAGGAGGGGGGTGGATTCCTTCATTGCCTTGTGTCATCATCTTGGTCCGCTTCCCCCTTCATCATTGCTTCTTCACAGTTTGAGAAGAGAGGTAGAAGGGAAGCAAGAAAAGGGAGGAGAGCAGCAGGGAAACGGAAAGGAGGTAGGAGGTGAGGAGGAGGAAGGGGGGGTAGAAAGAAGGGGGAGAGGAGAGGGAGAAGGGATGGGAGAAGGGATGGGAGAAGGGATGGGAGAAGGGATGGGAGAAAGGGGAGAGTTGCAGCTAGGGCATGTATGGCCGGAGGAAGAGTTTGTCCGTCTGGCTCTGCTCGCTATAGTCACATCCCATTGCATCAACTCCTCCCTCGCTACAGTTGCACTGGAACTAGCACATGCAAAGGGGGATAACAGGTGGAAGGACCAGCATCACCAGCAGCCGCAGCAACATGCCTTTTCTCTTCATCACCGTTTGACTCGCTTCCGCGTGTCAAGTCTCCAAGTGCTGGTGGTGCTGGGTCAACTGCGGTTCAATGCTGTGGCAGTGAGCCAGGTGCAGGGAGGGGAGAGTGGCGGCACTGCTGGTCAACTGGAGGGCATTGAACAGGTACAGTGGTAACTGCAGTTGTGATGGTAACCAGACTATTTCTGGTAACCACACAGCGCCATGGATTGACCTTGGAGAAAATCCAACACTTCACGCCTCATTTCCACCTCTCTGTATCAACCCCCACACCAGGTGCATTTTGAGGCCCCTCAGAACGTCTTTTGAGGCGCCTTAAAAGTCGCCTCATTTCCACCTCTCTGTATCAACCCCCACACCAGGTGCCCATCGCTCAAGCACGCTACCTCACTGCCTCGCGCTTCATTACCACAGCTTATTCACCTCCGTTCCGTTCCCTTTCTCCCACCCTGTTATCATTCCCTTGATCAACCCCTACATCAGGTGCCCATCGCCCAAGCCCTCTACCTCTCTGCATCGCTCTTCAACCACAGTTGCCATCCCAACGTCTCCCTCTCCTTCCCCTCCTCGCCTCTCCCTCCCACTCCTCTCCCTCTCTCGCCCTCCACCCCTCCCATCAGTCCCTCCTCTCCTCTCCTCTCTGCTCCCTCGCTTTCCTCCTCTGCACCCTCTGCTCTCCCATTTCCTCTACTCACACCCCCACTCTCTAGTCTATCCGCCTCTTCTCTCCCTGGGTCATCTCTTTCATATCGCCGTCTCCTAGTGGCCCGAACTACCGAACCTGTCCTCCCGGGCCAAGAGCTCAGCATCGGGTACGGAGCTCAGGTTGGGGAGAAGACAGCTTCGGAGCGCCAAACCTGGCTCCGCCAGAGGTACTTCTTCCAGTGCTCCTGCCGAGCCTGCACCGATCCTGCCCGAGCGTTTTCGGACCTGTGTCTCCGAGGCTACCGGTGCCATGCCAAGGGATGTGGGGAAAGAGGTGTGGTACCAGGGCTGGCTGGTGGTATTGGCTGGAAGTGTGTTGGTTGCGGATGTGGATTGTTTGAGAAGGAGAGGAAGGAGGGAGGAGTTGGAAAGGTTGGGAGGAGGAAGAAACTGCCAAGTGAAGGAGAGTCTGCAGAGGGTGCAGGGGTTGAGGAAGTGGAGCGGGGGAAGAAGCTGGCTGCTACAGTGGATGCGATCAGAGCGGACTTGCTGAGGTAAGAAAGTGCGTTGCAGACTTGCTGAGGCGTATGAGTGGTTCGTAGAACCGTTTGGCAGGGATGTAGGAATGCAGTTGTTTTAGTCGACTCAAAACCGCGTAAGATGAGGCAATTTTCGAGTCGACTCAAGCATTGTTGAGGTGTATGAGTGGTTTGTAGAACGGTATGGCAGGGATGTTTGGATGCAGTTACAGCTTGTTTTCTTTCCTTTTCTTACCTTTTCAAAGTTGAACAGAACAATTTTCTGCACCACAACTTTTGGTGTTCTCTCCCCTGCATCAGGCCACGAGACAGTGAGAGCTCTGCTGGTCCATCTTTGCCGTCTCTCCCTCGCTTGGGCTTCGGCCACACCATTCTTCCCCATGCCACGTGCTGCTGCTGCTCTCTCACCCTCATCAGGCTACGAGACAGTGAGAGATCCGCTGCCCCACCGTCAGCATCGACCCTCTCTCGCGCATCTCGGCTGTTGGAATCACTTCGGCACCGCTTGCACCCCCTCAACCGCAGTCTTGCAGAGGTACAGTCACGTGCTCCTTCTGTTTTTGAGACGCCTCAGTAACAGACGCCTCAGAAACAGGCTGTTGAGTTCACTCTGGCACCGCTTGCACCCTCTCAGCTGCACTCTGGCAGAGGTACAGTCACCCCCTCAACCGCACTCTTGCAGAGGTACAGTCACGTGCTCCTTGTGTTTTTGAGGCGCCTCAAATACAGACTGTTGGATTCTCTCCGGCACCGCTTGCACCCTCTCAACCGCTCTCTCACCGAGGTACCGTTACCCTCTCAACCGCACTCTCACCGAGGTACAATAAAAAGCCTTTTCTCCTCCTCACCTTAAAGATATGGTGTGTGGGCCTATGTGAATAGATTTGTGTGTGTGCGTGTGTGTGGTAGTGTGCCATGTAAGTGCATGTTTGTGTGGCAACGTGTGCATCCTTGTGTCTCATGCATTGTTTATCTTGTGCGGCTTGAACCTGCACTGCGCATGCTTGTGTGGCATGGCATGCACTGGTCGTGTTTTTGTGGCATGGACGTGCACTGTATACATGCTTGTGTGACATGAATGTGCACTATACATGGTTATGTGACATGAATGTGCACTATACATGGTTATGTGGCATGAATGTGCACTATACATGGTTATGTGGCATGATGTGCACGATACATGGTTAAACGGCAGGCGGAAGACTGTATGGCGCTCCTATGTTGCCAGTTCGGTAATTACAAGCAAGCCATGGAGCACTGCCAAGCGGCCTTGACGGTGTGTACGACAATTGATAGTATTTTCCACAATGGTTGCCCATGTATTATTTATTCATTCAAGCCTTAGTGCTCCTCGAACTGTTTATACTTCACATTACCATGCATATATTCACCCTCTTTATCTCCCCTTTTTCTTGCCTCACTTTCTGCCCATCCTCCACATATCCCGCCACGTGTACCAGATTCTATGCGCTCACTATCCACCAAATAGTGAATCATTGCAAGTGGAGAGAACAAAACTGGCTTCTATTCAAGCTGCAGCTGGAGGAAATTTTATACAAAAATGAAATGCGCACTACATTATATGGACGAACTCATATTGCACTTAAATGCAACTGCAAATTTGCTGCGATCTTGCATAAAACACTATTCATCCCGCAAAGCGATTCGCACAACCTGCAATTCGCGCTTCGCTCCGAATGGCTGGCAGAAATCCGACTCCCTGCCAGACCATAGCGCCCCTTCCAACCACTTTCATCTCCGTCAAATAATTTGCGCCCTCCACCAAATTTGCTTTTCCGCATCTCCCTGACATTCCCATTTCTTTCATGCTAAAAACCCTCTCCTCCTCGCCCTTGGTGTTGCGGCAACTACTAACTGAGCGTCCGCCGCGAACTTCCAGTCAATCAACGCATTTGGCTCGCGAAGGTGATAACGTGTAAAAGTTAGCGCGTAGGCGATAGCACGTGGGCGCTAACGTGGGACGGGGCATTCCAGTCACCTAAGGAGTCCCTGCATGCTAAGACGTAATCTAGCCACTGCAGGGGGTGGGGGGTATCAGCCCCCTGGGTCGTGGCATGACTGTTTAGGCGCCTCAAGAAACACAAACTGAAATCGCCAGGCCCCTGCTCCTCGTCACTTTTTCTTTGCCCTTCCTAAAGCTTTCCAGCAGTCATGGCACCCCGGACATAATTTTAGGCGCCTCAATTAAAGTCTCAGCCCACGCAGGTTCTATTCGGGAAATAACGCATTGGGTGCTCACCAATCATGAAGTTCCCGAGGCGAAATCTTCCGCCGTTCCGTCAGGTCTGCATTGTTTTCGCCGCCGTGCTGCTGCTCCAGCCGTGTCGACCCAACCCCCGCGCACGTGCTCATTCTCGACTCTGTAAGAGCCCCTCCGAACTACACCCGTACGTAGGATCATATAAGACTTCTCGATACTCGGTATACCACTCCCTGCCCAATCTTGACTATGTAGAGAACGATTTCGAGCTGTGCTCGTTGGTAGGACACAAGCAGTTAACTGAACAGCAGCCTCCGTCCGACGGCTGTCGAGTCGAGGCTGTCAATGGCGGCCAATGGCGATCCATGGCGATCAATGGCGGTCAATGGCGGTCAAAGTTGCTGCCGTGATTGCCACCGCACATGCGCCTCACCCATTCCAACAAATATTATCGATGGTCAACAATGGTGCAACCGGGAAAGGTGACTTCTGAGTAGACTCAAAAGTCAAGGGCCAACAATGGTCCAGCCCGGCGTGTCTGAAATCTATCATGGCAGCCCTTTTGCCGGCACTCCCCTCTCTCCCTCCTCTCACCCTCCTCACTTTTTCCTCTCTATCTCCTCTCCCCTTCCTCTCCCCCTCCCATCCCAGATGCCCCTCATGTTCCTGCCAGTAACCTCACCTGCAACATAGCAGCGGGAAAGTGGCAGCGCGCGTTGCGCATTTCCTTTTACACCGGCCTCACGCCCCTTGTGCCTTTCACACGTCCTGTGCCCCTCCCTTTCCTCCCATTTCAAACGCCCCTCACGCTCCTGTCACTAACCTCACCTGCAACATAGCAGCGGGCAAGTGGCAGTGCGTGTGGGGCATTTCCTTTTACACCGCGCTGACGCCCTTTGTTCCTACCACACGTCCTGTGCCCCTCCCTCTCTTCCTCCCATTCCAGTCGCCCCTCACGCTCCTGCCGGTAACCTCACCAGCAACATAGCAGCGGGCAAGTGGCAACGATTTTGAGGCGCCTAAAAAACTGCTCGTTTATTTCTCCCTCCTCTCGCGCTTCCATTCCAGACGCCCCTCACGCTCCTGCCAATAACCAAACCTGCAACGTAGCTGCGGGAAAGTGTCAGCGTGCGTTGCGCATTTCCTTTTACACCGACCTCACGCCCCTTGTGCCTTTCACACGTCCTTTGCCCCTCCCTCTCCTCCTCTAGCCACCCCGCATTTTCCTGCCGGTAACCTCACCTGCAACATCGCTGCGGGCAAGTGGCAGCGCGCGTGCGGCATCCCTTTCTACACGGGTCTCACGCCCCTTGTTCCTATCGTGCGTCGCTTGCTCCTCCCCTTCCAATTCCAGATTCACCGCATGTTCCTGCCACTAACCAAACCTGCAACATTGCTGCGGGAAAGTGGCAGCGCGCGTGGGGCATTCCTTTCTACACGGGGCTGACGTGTCCGTACATCCGATCCAGCCAGAACTGCCAGAAACTAGGGCGAACGGACCTCTCCTACCAGAAATTCAGATGGGTGGTACGTACGCGTTATAAGCAGGAACCTCGCTCCCTTACCATTCCTTTCTACACGGGGCTGACGTGTCCGTACATCCGATCCAGCCAGAATCGCCAGAGGCTCGGCAGAACAGACCTCTCTTACCAGAAGTACAGATGGGTGGTACGTACGCGCTGTAGGCATGAACCTCTCGCCCATACCATTTCAGTTACACGGGCCTCCCATGTCCGTGCATACGATACAGC